CATTAAACAGTGGATGTGGCTCTTAATGAGACATGCCACATAATCACAGGATGTCTACCCTCTAAACCACTGGAAAAATAATACTGTTTAGCTGGTATTGCACCACCTGACATCCGCCGGGAAGTAGCTGCCAATAATGAAGGAACCAAGGCAGTGACCTCTCCAGCCCATCCCCTGTTCAGATACAGCCAGCATGCCAACACTTTAAATTAAAAAACAGTTTTCTAGGATCTACAGAGATATTCGCAGGAACATGTCAGCAAGCCAGAGTCCAAAAATGGCAGGCTAAAATCCAGAACCTCGAGCTATGGCTGATACCAAATGAGAGACCTCCCCTTGGGCACAAAGAAGACTGGGTGACTTGGTAGGCGCTGAACAGACTGTGCTCTGGCACCACAAGATGCAGAACCAACCTTAAGAAATGGGGCTACAAAGTGGAGTCCATGACATGCGAATGTAGAGAAGAGCAAACTACAGACCACTTATTACAATGCAATCTGAGCCCTGCCACATGCATAGTGGAGGACCTTCTTACAGCAACACCAGAGGCACTCCAAGTGGCCAGCTACTGTCAAAGGACTTTTGGTATAATTGTATGTGTGTTTTAAATACATTACAAGTGTACCCTCAGTTCGCTTCTGATATGATAAATAAATAAATCCATTTCACAGCAGTAAATCTAGGTTCAGAAATTACATGCTTAATTTTGGTGAGACAGTGACTATTTCTTAAAATAAATAGATCTGCCTACCGTAATTAAAATCCAAAATTAATCTTAACAACTTTCTACATCAAAAGTGGCATTCCACTACAAATGATTGGGCTTGGCAATTACTACTTCTCATGCTGGTTTTATGGAACTTCAGTACATACATTCTTTGCCACTATCATTCTTAAAGGATAATTGAAAAACCTTGTGTGAATCCTTTGAAGCAGAGTTAAAATCAAACCAAAAAATGTGTGTGGGCTCTGAAAAGTTAATTGTTAAATTGCAAGTCTGAAACACCCAGACCTTTCCTTTTATATTTGCTGGAAGTAGCAATGAATGAAAAGAATACTTGTGGATAATACTCGGGATGTTATTAGCCCTCTTGTCCACACAGACTTAATTTACAAGGAGGTCTTGAAAAGATTTTTTTCTCTCTCTCCAAAAGTCACACCAATGGAATTCAGTGGCACTTAATCCCAGATGGCTATGTTTAGAATACTGCCTAATATAATTAATTATATAATTAAAATAATTAAAAGCCTAGAGGATAAACAAATCAACCTGTGTCACTCAGAGGGTTACAGCCTTCACGCAGAGTCTGGAATAGTTACTTTTTAGACCACAAGCCCCAAAAATTCCCCAGGCAGAATAGCAAGTGGCTGTAATAAAAATATTTTAATAGCTTAAGAAATCTACTCAATTAAAAAACAGCACTTAAAAGCATTTTAAATATAACCATGCACATAAAAGTACAACACACATTATGTTCAACACATAATATTGCTGCTGCAGCCAAAAAACTATTCTAGTTTTTTTAAAGGGCTTTGTCTCACAAAAGAAGCATATCTCATATTAATACTTTCCAAAGAGCAGCCACGCCAAACCTGTTGCAGCAAAAACAATAAATAGTCCTCTGACAGCTTAAAAATTAATGCATTTTTCAGGATTTCAACCTGCTTCACAGTGAGGTGCCACAGGACTCATTATGCTTCTCATGATAATAAAATGCTGAAATGCTGTAAATTATCATTTCTGGTTTCATAGACTGGTTTCTCAAGACTCTCTTGTGCATCATGCCCCTCCACACCCAGACTGTAGTTCTTAGTGTAACTGATGAATGTTGAGCTGCCATTCAGTACTGGACTAACAGGCACTATCGTCTTGAAAGTCATCTGCCTCCTGGATTGTTGGTTGGTTTATACTGCAGTGGTTCCTAAACTTTTTTTGACCAGGGACCACTTTGATCAGGGACCACTCTCCAACATTAGTATCAAAGGAGGTTACAAATCAGTTTTTGGTCAACTTTTGGTTATGCCATCCAGTAGTCGCTATCTGCTCAGCCACAGAAAACCATATTTAATAAGCATTGGCACTATAAGAGGGTTTCGCAAGACCAGTCACTCTCGTTGCAACAGTGTAGTAATGGTGAGGCCATAGACCATATTTTAATTCTTGGGGAACCACTGGTGGTCACGGACCACAGGTTGAGAACCACTTGTTTACAGGATATGGATAACTCACTTATTTCTGCAAGTACGCTATATACTTATGTATAAGTCTAGAAAATTTAGTCAAAACATCAGTTTCAAAAACCTGGGTCAACCTATCCATGAGTCAATGTGACTACTGTACCTTTGCTCTTATCAAAAAAGGAACCATACCCTTCCCTGTGTAAAGCAGTGAAAGGCAAGAGCTAAGTTCATCTGAAAAGAAACACTGGCCCCTTCTAATTTATTTACCGTAGTGCCACTTTTTGAATGCCTGGGTGGAGAGAAGGTGGCGGCAGCAAGGACAGCATCCCCTCTGAGATGGCGCTTTTTGCTCTCCAAGGAATGACCCTCCACTTATCCATTGATCATATCAAAATTCATAATTTTGGCAACAAAATTGCCCTTGACCTACACACAAGGTCTATTTATACATGGATATATAAGATAATCTTCTAGTACCTTTTTCTATCTATCTAATGAGCAGAACAGAAATACAGGCAGTCTCTGAATTACAAATGACTCATAGTTAAGAACAGGGGTGAGACAACAGCAAGTGAGAGAAATCTACACCTTTGAAGGGAAATTCACTCCTGAAAGAGTTGTCATGGGGAAAAGATGTCTCCACTGAAGCTCTCTCACCAATCCTTGTCTCCACAACAAGCCAAAATATTCAAAATCCAATTATCACAGGGACAGGAAGTGAGGTGAAATGTTCTAAAAGAGGCACAGACAACAAAACACACATCATAGGGGTATTGCCCTTTCCTATGCTAGCCAGAACTAGTCCAATGCTTGCTCTCTCTTTCTCTCTCTCTCTCTGTGTATATATATACACACACACATATTGGTATATATATCTGGAGTTGCACTTAAAAATATACCTGTTCCAACCTACATACAAATTCAACTTAAGAACAACCCTACAGAACCCATCTTGTTCATAACTTGGGAACTGCCTGTAGCTGTTAGAGTACAACAAAGAGCAGACACTATAATTCAGTTTGAAGTGGCTAGAAAGTCCATAAAACATCAAGCCCCAATGCACTATGCAATGTAGATCAAGAATGATACAGCGCTTTAAAGAAAATCCAACTTTGTCCAAAAATGTTCTGCAGCTGATTCGTATATATCCCAGATCCAGAGTAAAATTGACACTGCAAAATATGGAGCACACTAGACACCAACCTCTGCTGAAGTGCATGCAGTAAAGGATCCAGAACAGGGGCTGTCAAAAATGAAGAAGGACATGGCTGGGCAGCAGATGTCTAATCGACCCCCTGGTAGAATTATAGAATTATAGAGTTGGACGGGACCTCATGGGCCATCCAGTCCAACCCCCTGCCAAGAAGCAGGTAGGTGTAATAGATTACCTCCACTCTGAATTATCAGTTTCCCCTTGTCTCCATCCTGTATACCTCCAGTACACTGATGCATATCTCTCAGAAATGGGATAAAACCCTGCAAGGCAGTTTGAGGTCAGGTTCCGTGTTCAATGTAATCACTTTCCTGGACTCAAACAAATTCTAGACCTGTCAATTTAATCACCCCACAAAGAAACTGGTTCTTTTTAATCCACTTCCAAACTGGATGACAGTGTTTACATAGAATCATAAAGCTCTAAGAGACCCTTGGTATCCACTGGGGTTTGGTTCCATCTAAACATTAGGAAGTGCCATCTAAACATTAGAAATCATAGAATCATAGAGTTGGAAAAGACCTTGTGGGCCATCCAGTCCAACCCCCTGCCAAGAAGCAAGAAAATCGCATTCAAAGCCCCCCTGGCAGATGGCCATCCTGCCTATGTTTAAAAGCCTCCAAAGAAGGAGCCACCACCACATTACAATGCAGAGAGTTCCACTGCTGAGCAGCTCTCACAGTCAGAAAGTTCTTCCTCATGTTCAGGTGAAATCTCCTTTCCTGTCATTTGAAGCCATTGTTCCGCATCCTAGGGCCCTTCCACACAGCTTTATATCCTAGAATATCAAGGCAGCAATTCCCACTGGGTTATCTGAATCCACACTCAGATAACGTGGGATTTTTTCCCTTAATATTCTGGGATATAGGGCTGTGTGGAAGGGCCCCTCGTTTCCAAGGCAGCAGAAAACAACCCTGCTTCCTCCTCTCTATGACCTCTCTCATATTTATACATGGCCCTCATGTCTCCTCTCAGCCTTCTCTTCTGAAGGCTAAACATGCCCAGCTCTTGAAGCCACTCCGCATAGGGCTTGTTCTCCAGACCTTTGATCATTTTAGTCGCTCTTCTGGACACATTCCAGCTTGTCAACATCTCCCTTCAATTGAATTGGAACTGCCCAAAGTTTAGTAGCAAGGGCACTCAGCATGGGATGCAGGCCCGTAGCCAGGATTTTGTTTCGGGGGGGGGGGGGGGGGGGGGGGGCTGAATTTTTTTCAGGGGGTGTTTTGGTGGGGCTTGTGGGGGGGGGGGCTGAGTCTGAGTGAAAGAGGGTCTAGCCTAGCAAACCTTTTGTATCATTACCCCAATACCCCCATGCATATGGGATATATTGAGTATGGTGATCAGATCATGATATGAATAAACATAACAGTTTAAAGAATGCACCAGTAAGGCCTTTTCGCGAACCACCATGAGAATTTCGGGGGGGGGGCTGAAGCCCCCACCCCCCCCCCCCCCCGGCTACATGCCTGATGGGATGCTATAAAGTTTAGGCCTTCTTCCTATATCAGTTCACCGAGCCATGGAGATTCTAGATTTTTGTTTTTGTTTTTATGTTTTGTTATATTTTAATAGCTCATTGTATTAAGAATGGAAGAACACTTACTGGCTTTCGGGTAGGTGTGACTTGAACAGAATGGTAGAACTCTGGCTGGACGCGGCTGACTTTCTTGACTTTTCTCTTCTTAACCGATGTTTCCTCTTCACTCAGCTGACGTGCTTCTACCAAGGGCTTGTTTTCTTCAAGGCGAGGGACCACACGTCTTCTTATATGGCGTGGACTCGGTCTAAATCCCTGTTAAGAGGAATGAAAAGGATTTTTATAATATCTGGTAGTTCCGGTACATTCTGTGTAACAGAAATGCCATATAAAACAGAACTCAATTCTATTTACATGTAAATATTAGCCAATTATTGAAATAGCATAATAAAGATGACTGCACAAAACCAACAATACGATACTGTATTTACATCTAAACACTATAAAATGATATTAAAAAGCAAAACTGATCATGCAGTTTCTAAAAAAGAACACATTTACTTATTAAACTTTTAATAATCCCCTTCTTTATTGCTTTCTCTCCAGTATTTTCTTTTAAAAGCTGAACAGGAATGTATTATTGAAAAAATGACTTTGATGAAAGCCAATAACCAAAGTCTTAATAGGGAAAAATGTTTTATTCACAACTAAGATAAATTAGATATGGATGAGAAATAAGAAAAAAAGTGTTCAAATCTCCTCTATTATTAAGCTCACTGGATAATCTTGGACTAGTTGCTATCTCTCAAACTATCTCTTAATGATGTGATAAGGGTCAATGCCAGGAGGTATCCCCGTTATACATTTCTTTTTAATCATGTCAGAAGAGACTTGAGGAACTACAAGTTGCTCCTGGTGTGAGAGAATTGGCAGTCTGCAGAGACATTGCCAAGGGGACATCCGGATGTTTTACAATCCTGTGGGAGGCTTCTCTCATGTCCCTGCATGGGAAGCTGGAGCTGACAGACGGGAGCTCACCCCATCTCGTGGATTCAAACCGCCAACCTTCAGGTCAGCAGTTCAGCCAGCACAACGGTTTAACCCATTGTGCCACCGCAGCTCCTTCTCACTATATATGCCATCTCAATTTTCCTAGGGAGAAAGCCTACATAAAACAAAATGTAATACATACATAAGCAGCAATTTTCCTATATTTCCTAAGATATTGAATATATTTCAGAATATACAGGGCTTTTAATGATGTTAATATCACAGCCATTCTCTTAACTTCAGCGGAAAGCAAAGGCACATTTTGGAAAAGAAAACCCCATGATAGTAACCCGGCTTTGTGTCAGTAATGAAATCAAAGCACACAATGACAACAAACAGCATGTCTGAGAGAGCAAAAGGAACCTATACAATCACAGGGGAGAAAACTCAGATTTCAGTGGTTCGTAATTAAAAATATAACCTTGTAGTATTTTAGTTTGCTCTTTCCAAATTGTGCAATCTATTTTGTTTTTCTAATACCATTTTATGGTGTTTAGATGTAAATAGAGCTTTATATTTTATTTTATTTTATTTTATATAGTCATCTGCATAAAAAGATTAGTCTAGGCTATTTGTCCAATCGCATCTCCCTATATAAGCCATCCTGTGCACTGTGGTCAACGGAGGAGGCCCTGATCTCAGTCCCATCCCCGTCACGAGCACAGTTTGTGGGAACGAGATTGGGGGCCTTCTCTGTGATCGTTCCCCATCTCTGGAACTCCCCTCAGAAATAAATAAAAATGGCCCCTACCCCCCCCCCCTTGAAAACACACTTGAAAACACACCTATGCACTTTCACGTATGAAGAAGAGGAGGAATAGACTTTTATTTCCATCCAAATGCTGGCTAACTTACTTGTTTTTCATTGCTGTATGGTACATTTTAAAGAACATCTATGATAGTCATGTTTATGCATTTTAAATATTCCTTTAGGATATACTGTATGTCTTGATGTTCATTATGTTATTAGTATAATTATGTTTTTCTTTGTTTATTCGTATTCTGTTTTTCATTGTTAATGCTAATGCTTCTGTTACAAGTTCGAGGTCATTATTTTGTATTATTTTGAGATGTTTGTATTTGTGTAAGGAATTGAAGGGTTGCTTCTTTTTTTTTGCATGTAAACAACCCCGAATCCCCTTAGGGAGAGAGGGCAGTCTATAAATACAGTTTTATTATGTATTATTATCTTTACTGAGCAGTTTCAAAAGTAATTCAGGTTCTATAAACATTAAAAATTAGAACTTGATCTAAAAGTTCTGAAAGCATTACAACATTTATTGAAATAATAAAAGAAGCTGTACAATGCAGGCAAGTTGCAATGGCCATTACTTTCAATCAAAGATATTAGCTGGACACTATCCAAACAAGGCTAAGCATTTTGAAATACCATTAATTTCAGTGTTAAGAGTGTTCAGGAAATACATAGGGTTCACCTACACTGTCGAATTAATGCAGTTTGACACCACTTTAAGTGCCATGGCTCAATGTTATGGAATCTTGGGAGTTCTAGTTTGGTGAGGCACCAGCACTCTTTGTCAGATAAGACTGAAGACTTTTTAAGTCTACAACTCTCATGATTCCATAGCACTGAGCCATGACAGTTAAAGTGGTGTCAAACTGCATTAATTCAACAGTGTAGATACCCTTGGTGCTTCTATTAAATTTAGTGCATCTCTAAAATGCCTAATTCTGAGAGGACTGTGTCTCACATCCTTTCAGAATCAATAGGACACTAGTACTCTTCAAAGTGCATCTGATCATACCTGCACAATCTACAACATCCATTTTTTGTAATACCAGTTAGCGATTTTCCCTTTCTGCACATACATTTCTTTCAGTCTTTGGGTAGAGAAATAATTGTATTAATTATGGACAAAAATGTGAGAAACATAGGTTTTTAAATAAAGAATGGATACACAAAATAATTTTAAAACACTGCATTACCAAAGTAGGTAGATAGCAGGAGCATATGTTGCTCAACAAATGCAAGAAGATATAAAATTTTGAGCAGCATTGGTTATGTAACAGAAGAATCTGTGAATAGTTAAGCAGCTCCCAAAGTGCTTAGAGTCACAGGCCAAAGAGGGATTTAGCTGTGTGTGAATAAACCTTCAAAAATATTTAAGGAACTCATTTCTTCACAGCAGCTGGTGTAATAATTGATGTAATCATTGGTAAAGCGCTGTGCTTAAACTTAATTTTGGAAATAGTAACCTTTCTCAGCACAGTATTACATGAAGCGAGATCTTGGTACCATTAAGACTTCATCTGCTGTTAATACCTGCACTTATACCTCACTCCCAAGTCATAATCTTCGACTTACGACTTTACATTTAAGAGGGGGTTATTTGCTATAAGAAAGAGAGCCCAGATGTCAGGTAAAAAGTGGACAGAAGTGTGGTTTGTTTTGGAGTACTAAGGCTTATGAGGAATAAAAAGGTAAAAGTAAAGGTGTCCCCTTGACATCAAGTCTAGTTGTGTCTGACTCTGGGGGTGGTGCTCATCTTCATTTCTAAGCCAAAGAGCCAGCATTGTCCATAGACACCTCCTAGGTCATGTGGCAGGCATGACTGCATGGAGCGCCATTACCTTCTTACAGAAGCAGTACCTATTGAGCTACCCGCACTTGCATGTTTTCAAACTGCTAGGTTGGCAAAAGCTGGGGCTAAGAGTGGGAGCTCACCCTGCTCCCCAGGTTCAAACTGCTGACCTTTCAGGCAGCAGGTTAAGCAGCTCAATGGTTTAACCCACTGCACCATCAGGGGGCCCCTATGAGGAATAACCCCCGCCCCCAAAAAAGCAATAGGAATTACTTTTTTTAATCGGTATATACAAGACTGCATCTTAAATCTTCATAATGTATGCACCAATATAGTCCCTATATTGTCTGATAGGAATAGGGTCAACACTTCTGTTAACTAGAAGGGAGGTTATTTCAGGAGGTATAACAGCCTCCAAGTTGAGAGCTTGAATGGTGTAGTGCAGTGGTTCTCAACCTGTGCGTCCCCAAGTGTTTTGGCCTTCAACTCCCAGAAATCGTACCAGGTGGTAAACTTGTTTGGGATTTCTGGGAGTTATAGGCCAAAACACCTGGGTACCCACATGTTGAGAACCACTGGTGTAATGGTTTGATAACTGTACTAGGGGTGCATCTGTAGAAATAATGCAATTTGACACCACTATGAGAGTTGTAATTTTACAACTTTGCCAATGAGAGCAAAATACCTCATGAAATTACAAATCCCATTATTCCATTGAAACCTGGTAGTTGGGTGTCAAATTTGATGCATTTTAGTGTTGATGCCCCCTACAACTCTGGAGACCAAGGTTAGATTCCTTGCTCTGCCACAAAAACCCACTGGATGAACTTGGGCAATTCATACACTTTCAGCCTCAGAAAACTCCCATGATAAGTTCGCCTTAGGAACATCTTAAGTTGGAAACAATGTGAAGGTACCACTGCCACCACCACGACAAGATGTTGAGAAAAAACCATAGCTTGGAAGGAAAATACCTTTTGAACTACGCGTCCTAGAATCCCCAGTAAACATGGCCACAGAAAATAACTTCACCAGTCCTTGCATTCACTAATCCCTTAAGCACTTGCAGGCTAGTTGTATATGCGTAGCAGTGTAAAAGACAAAGTTCAGATGAGTTGTAGGGAACAATGAGTTAAGTTTCAGTTTTAAACTAGGGCTCCATCTACACTGACCATTTTACGCATTTTGAAAACCTAGCTTCAAACTCTGGCGGCCAGACAGCAAACTCCCACAAAACTGCACAAAGGAAAGCCCTCAATGTGCATCAGTGCTCTGTGGTTTGTGTAATCAGCATCCCATAATGGTTCCATGATTTCCAATGTACAGCAAAGCCAATTTCAATAATGGTTTAAAACTGCATTACATAGTCATTGTAGATGTGCCTATACTTGCTTGGGAATAACTCACAATGTATTCTGTTGTACTTATTTTGAACTAAACCTATCCAAGATTGCTTTGCACACCTGTACATTTGAAATATGCCCTGCATGCACAATTATTCACACTTAATAGCTGTCAACAGGACAACGTGGATATCCTACAGTCTTCAGGATTCAGCTTTGGTATGTTTTTTCAAAACTATTAGCTGCAAGGTGCAAAATAAAAGGAGACACACAAGAGTCACCTATTACAACAAGCTTTCAAAATTACTGTATTGCCTTTTGTTCATGAGTTTGCTGGATCAGCACCTAGGGTGGAGGACAGCAACCAGTTTGTGAAATT